ATTCTAATTTGTGAGCTACTGGCGTTAAGAAGAAGAAGAAGAAGAGATTGGATGGAGCAGAGATCCATCAGTGGCTATTATCCACAAGGTATAGATAGGGACTCTGGGGCAAGTGATGCTCTGTCATCTTGGTGCTTGGGGGGGTCAACAGTGGGAGGGCTTCTAATGTCCTGGCCCCACTGGTGGACCTCCTGATGGCACCTGGTATTTCTGGCCACTGTGGGATACAGAGTGTTGGACTGGATGGGCCTTTGGCCTGATCCAACATTGGCATCTCTTATGTTCTTATGTTCATTGGATTTATACCCCGCCCTTCACTTGGAGTCTCAGAGCGGCTTACAAACTCCTTTCCCTTCCCCTCCCCACAACAGACACCCTGTGAGGTGGGTGGGGCTGAGAGAACTCTGACACAAACTGCTCTTTCAAGGACAGCTGTGCCAGAGCTTGTGACTGACCCAAGGTCACACCAGCAGGTGCAAGTGGAGGCGTGGGGACTCAAACCCGGTTCTCCCAGATTAGAGTCCGCACACTTAACCACTACACCAAACTGGCGATTTGGTCACTGCATAAATTAGTTTGCCCTGGAGCCAGTCCTTCCTGAGCAGAGACAAAAGCGTGTGAGCTGGAGGCTAAAAAATGGTGAGCTAGCTCACGCTAACTCAGCTTAGGGAACACTGCTCTGGAGCCCCTCCTTCCTGGGCTGAGACAAAAACCTGTGAGCTGGAGGCTAAAAAACTGTGAGCCGGCTCACACTAACTCAGCTTAGAGGGAACACTGACTGGCAACCTGCGCTCTGTTGGCCTTCTTGGGTGGGGCATGTCTAGGAAGGAGCTGCCTTAGACTGAAGTTCTTCACCAGGACTGCTCTCCCCACCAGTGTTCCCTCTAAGCTGAGTTAGTGTGAGCCAGCTCACGGTTTTTTAGCCTCCGGCTCACACATTTCTGTCTTAGCTCAGGAAGGAGGGCTCCAGAGAAAACTAATATGTGCACTAGCCAAACTGCTCGCTCACAACTTTAATGCCGGGAGCTCACAAAGTAGAATTTTTGCTCACAAGACTCCACAGTTTAGAGGGAGCATTGCATCCCCACTATCGCCAAATTAGCAGCCGTTCTCCCAGCTCTTCTTGGGTGATAAATTCAAAAAGCCTGCACTCGGGGAACAGAGCTATGTGTCACCTGTGCTCCCTGCTCACGCTGAGGGGGGGAAAGAGATTTGATAAGACTGGAGAAGTCAGCAGTCTGAGAGATTCTGTTCCGTTTTTCAAAAAAAAAAAAATCCATTCTTTTGTGACTGTAGAGGTCGCCTTGAAGATACTCAGCACTGCCTCCTGAAGTCTCAGTCGACCAAGGAAGGAGGAAGCCGTTTGTGTGGTGCATTCTGTACCCATTATCAAGTTCCATTCTTACACAGTGTGATCACAGATATACACAGCCCTAGGGGCATACCACAAGTGAGGCAGCCATCGGGAGTGTCAAGCATGTTACCTGATATTCCTTAGCAAGAACTCTCGTGGACTGAACCTGGGAGGAGCTAGAAGCATGTGAAAAAGTGCTCCTTTGAGGTGGACACTCTTCTCTTAACTTTGGCTAGTAGTACTAAACGATATTCTTCGCAAAGAGTCGGACTCGACTGTGCAACTGGACGACGACGACAACTAAACTATGTTAAGAGACATCTGAAGGCAGCGGTTTCGCAATAGAGTTATTCAACTTGGATTAGAGAGCGTAGTATTAGCATGAGCCAGCATTCTAATCTCCTGGGTAGGAAATTTAATTTGAAAGAATGTCACTAGTATTCTGTGCTTGAGGACTGCTGCTGAAAAGTATTACTTTTTAGTCTGTGCTGATGGCCGGTGTGATTTTCACACAGACATAATTTGATGGTCAGTTCCATTTAGTGCACAGATTTATAGCTTGTCAGTTGACCTCAAATTTTCCATATAGACAAATGCTAGGAGAGAAGCAAGGTGGGAGTGCATGATGGACGTTCTATAATATTATGAACCAGGGGTCATTTTGTAGAAAAAGAGGTGCAGGAGCTCATTAGCATAACTCATTTGTATATGCCATACCCCATGACATCACCGGATGTGTGTCAGAAGGCAACACCCACCGCTCAGGCTCCACTGGACTGTTTTGGATTGCTAGCTATTGGGGGGAGGGAGAATGTGCAGATCTGTCCTCGCAGAGGAGGGAGAGCTTGTACCTGAATAAGACTTGGTCTTAAAGGCGCCACTGGACTGTTTTGGGATGGGGGGCTGGGGGGGGCTCTGCAGCTTACCTGGCTGCTTCTTGTTCTGACTGAGGGCTGCTGGGAGCAGGGGGGGGGGCTTGTTGTGTGTGCCCGCCCCCTGGGCTCTTTACTGCCAGAGCTCCGCTCCTGCAGGAAATGACCCCTGTTATGAACCCTACTGGGTTCAAAACAACCACTCATCTAAATGGAAAAATACACACAGACACCCCCCAAAAAAATCTTTCACATACCTCCTCCCTTGCCTACAGATGACTGTAGATGAGGTAGGACGTCTCCATACTTTCCTCTCCCATTCTGTATTAAATTAATATAAAAGATCAGAAAAAATTATCTCAGAGTCCCTTTATTTAAAGCAAGTGATATAGCTTTCTCTGGATGTTCGTGCAAGAGACACAATAAAACCCTACCTTGTTTCCCAGAAAACACTGTAAATCGTTGGTGCTCCTGTTGGGTTTAGTGCTGTTTATACAATAACACATCCTTTATGCAACATTTACCTAATTGCTGCATAGAACTCTCTAACCAAAACATCACCATTAAGGTGAACTCTAACTTTCAAGAAGTTATCAAAAGGATTTTTAAAAGCCATTTGTTGCCAAAACAGACTGCTTTGTATTCCAGAGTTTAAAATAAACCTTTAAGATCAAACTAGAAAGGGAACATTGTTCCCATGCGTGTAACTCCTTTTTTCTGGATTTTTGTAATGATTTGGCGGCTTCCACGTTGACATAAGATACCAGCCAAAGTAGATCTTCCATATGATTCTGTATCTCTTATTGCCTGATTCTGAGGCTTATTGGTCTACTAATGAAGCTTGTATTCTTTAGTCTTAAATTTCCTCCCATGGCAGAAAATCCAGAAAAGATTCCAGATTCCCACAAAATGTCGATGTGGGGCTCCAATTATAGGCCACCAGGATATGAACAATGCTGCACATTTGTTCCCTGGCACCATACAGCAGCTGCAAGGAATGGCTTTTTTAAAAAACCAAAGGAGAGCCCAAATGGGCTCAGAACACTGCTGCAGTGGGAGGAAGTGCATGGAAACAGCACTGGGAAGGCATTCACAAGGAGCAGCAAAAACAAGGAAATAACTCCCCCTCGGTGCTGTTTCTGAGTAGGAAAATGGCTTGGAGGGAGACAGGAGCCCTTCCTCCCCTAAGCAGGAACATTCCAAGCCCGTTTGGGTGTCTTAAAAAGTCATTCTCAGCAGTGGCTGCGGATCTAGTTAAAAGCCTGAATGTTTCGTTTGGCCCCAAGACAATTTCCTAACAACATAGGGACCCTACTGGAACAGAACAAAAGTCCCCTCTAGTCCAGCATCCTAGCCATTTTTGGATGTTCCTAGGTTTGGTGTAGTGGTTAAGTGTGCGGACTCTAATCTGGGAGAACCGGGTTTGATTCCCCACTTCTCCACTT